GTATACTTACATACTAGTAATTATTAAACATACGACTACGTAATAGAATACTAGATGAGCATGTGAAATCAAGAAAATACTAACGAATTATTTAGTAGGACATTGGTAGGATTTTAGTAAAACCTCTACAAAAAAATGCAAAAGCTTTCTGTTCAATTCAATACTATAACATACGTTTTATTACATGCTTTTTAATCACCTATGATATTTCATTCCGAATTTTATATTTAGTGAAGGATCATATATCATTTAATCTCTTTTTCTATTGTATTTTTATTGCGTAAAATACGAGAAATATTTTTATTGATTTTTTCATATTCTGATAAACACTCTTGTCTGCTATTAAAACATGAATTTTATTGAAGTGTATTGAATTTTAAAATACTTGTTTAGAAACAGTACAAATTTATACGCCATTTAAAACATTGAAAAAATTAATTTAAGAATTGTGAAAGAACTACGTATTTTGAAATGTTAATAAGGGATTCTTGCACTATAGCTTACAGTCTCGCAAGAAGATAGTAGTATCAGCATGTGAGAATTTTCCACAAAGAAAGGAGTTCGAATGGCACGCTTTTTCACTTAGAATAGATTGTTTGGTCTCGCGTTATAGTAATTCTTCTACTCTGTCAATACATAAAAGGGTAAGTGAATAGTACGTAGCAGATTAGAATTATATTTCGAAGTTTGTACAAGAAATCAACACATGTTAAAATAACTTGTGAAAAGGGTTGTGGAATTATGGAAAAAGTATATTAAAAATTCAAAATATCGTAAAATTTGCAGGCAAACTATTGACAAAAAAATGTGCGTCATCGTCGAATCATATTTAGAAATTTTGATGAATAGCTAAAATGTTGGAATAAATATTAAATTTATCACAACAGACGAACAACAGGAGGATCAGCGACAGAGCTTCTTGTCCAGCAATGTTTGCGCGAAAGGAACGTTCATAAATTACTTTTTCTAACGATAAACTACTTAAAAAAGAAAGGGAAAAACTGGTTTGGCTAGTTCGTTTTTCTGGGTCGAATGGCGTTTTACACGAAGGCAAATGTTTCGCGACATCCTGTTATAATTTTCAGCCTCTGATAAGCTTAAAACAGTGGCGCGCATCGTCGGCCTTATGAATCCTCTCAAACTTTCTTCTACATATAAGGTGATTCTATTCAATCTGTAAATGGATACATTTTAGATAATTAAAGTGTGTTACATGAACTACATAAGTTTCGCAAGTTCATTAAAGTTTCAAACAAAGGCAAATGGCGATTTGTACTCTTCACATCTGTTACCACGTATTTTTCATGAAAATTTGATCAAAATTCAAATAGATTTTAAGGGAAATTAAACAGATTATATGAATTAATTCGGTATGTTTGTGTAGATCCCTTTTTATTTATAACCTAAATATATTTTTAATCTCTTCGTAAAGATCGCGAAATAATGCAGAAAGTAATGAGAGTATGTTATACAAACCATACAGGTATTAGTTATGTTATAAATTTACCAAGTTGTAGAAAACATTTCAATTTTTCAATTGTAAAAAAAGATTAAACTACACATATTTTTACTCAAAGAAATGATTATTAGACTGCGGATATTTAGACAAATTCTGCGAATTCTCAGAAACTGCTGCAAAATCCATCTTGTCAAAGACAACCAAGTGTCCGGATACTTCTAAGCAGCAGCATAATTATGTCGTCTACGTGTTTCATTCGCCGTTTGAACATTCTTTTAGCCTAAAATGAGGTCGAGTCCTGCTTCGAAAACGATACGTTTAGTACTACCTTCGCACGACTGCAGGAATTTGATACTGTGAAAACGACGCATGTAGAATCTAGTAAAAGATCGCTTCTTTACTGCAGTATAAGATTATGCGCCAATACTTTTTACAACTACTGCAAAATACATCATGTGAAAAATGAGCAAGTGTCCGGATACTTTAAAACGATAGTGTATGTCTTCTATATGTATGTTTCATTCTCCATACGATATTCTTTCTCAACCCAGGTCCTAGACCAAGCTCAAGTGCCTAATTCGTTTGCTCCTTCGTCCACCGATCCGGTAGCGTACATGCTCGTCACAATGCAAATCTCCGCTCGTCTAATGAATTATTTAAGCGTCTGCGCCTCTCTTTCTCGCGTTCGCGTTCCTTATGATGCATGGCCTCGTACGCACGAATCTCTCCTTGAGAATCCACGGTGTCTGCGGTTCATACTTCGTTCGTCGAACCGTATAGTCCCTTGACATCTCCTTGGAGAGATGCTCTTGAGAAATTTCTAGCCTGTGACGAATTTCTATGGAAATCCTCCTCGTCCAAGACTTTCTGCGGCAAATGGTTCGTTGAACATTACGATTTTCTGGCAAGAAACTGTTGAGAAATGACGAACGCGCGGACACACGTCGACACTTTGTTTTTCTTCATTTTCTTTTGTGTTTTATGCGAAGTGGGTTTTTCTTCAAGGAAGATGAGGAGGTTTACGTTTTCTTGTCATCGTTTTGATTGGCAAATTTATCACGGACGCGTCCACGGAGCACTTTGATTTTATTGATTTTTAGTTTGTAAAGAGTTGCCTTTGGGGTTTCTTCCAGATTCGTTCTGGAACGGTCACAATGAAACAGCATGTGCGCCAAACGAATCGATAACTCGCGCCACGATCGAGTGACACGTGTTTTTCCAGAAATTGTAGCTTCTATAAGGATCGAGCTTTTCTCACGTGTTTTCTTAAGCTTTTTGCTACTGCAGTTCCGTTTAAATTGCAGCCTTAAACGCTTGTGTTGTGTGTAATATGATATACGTTGAACCGTATGGTTACGTAACAAATTCTGCTACACTAGTGGAAGTATTTATTGCGTTACATGCAATATTATTGATGATGCAATTTATTTTTGCCGAGGTAGTAAGCTATACTTTGTTAGAACCATATATTTTAATCAATTTTGAAGAGATATAGAACCATGTTCTGATGTATAAATGTAACGATGTTTATTAAAAAAATTATTCGAAATGTGTAATCTTATACCACACCATGAATGCTAACATTTTTCAAATATTATGTTCTATCGTTATACAGTTGAATAGTAAATTAATATTTATTTACGAGCAAGAAGTATACAGTAAAATACCACTACAATCAATAAATAATGATTTTAGTATATTAGAATACTTTCTACGTTTAATTATAAATTTATACTTTCTACATAAATGTGAAAAATATTAATTTTTAAAGAAACTTTTTCGTACTACGCTTTATGGTTAACTTGCTACGATTTTGCTTTGTTCTTCGATTATTATTTATATACTATTCGTACTAATAGTAAAAGGACCATAATTGTTTAAAAGCATTTAATATTAAAAAAGAATATTCAGTACCCAAGTAAGGCAGTAAATATTTAAAAATAGTAAATATCTACATATTAAACAAATTATAAAATATTATAAAGGAATGCGATAATATGAATAGTTTTCATAGTATCGTTTTAAAGCTCACGATACTGTTTCTGAAAGAAAAAAGTTGTAATACTTCAACGCACGATATCGCAAGATCTATCCAATCTTTCGCTTTATTTACAAGAGAGTTTCGATTAAGCGGTTTAGTCGGCGTGAAAAAAGACACGCGATAAACCAAAACACAAAGATAAATTAAAGAGAAGATATTAAACCTTCCTTTTGTTTCCCAAAATGAAGTTTTTCATTTGCTTCCACCATTCGTAATTTTTATTCTCGAAGAACCAGAAGGTTTTGCTTTTTTAACAAAAAATTGTCACTAGTCGACGACGTTATTATTATTGAAATTGCATAAAAACACAGGAAATTGTTAATTGATCCTCCTCATCGTAAATCATATTTGTGGTTCTTCCAACCTAGAGACAAATTTAGGAAAAATTCTATTAGGTCTAGGACAAGATTCTGTGTTTTTCATTTTATGTCTTATATGCTTTCTTAAAAGAAAACATGCCTTTCTTATTGAAATATTTTCTATCAGTAGATTGATAAGACAGATTGATAAAATATTCAAAGTATTCGTTATATTTAGCGAATGAAATAAATTTCTATTTAGATACCATTCCTTTAGTTACATTTATAAAGATGTGAATTTACATTAATATCTACAGTCTACAGTCTATCTCTGACATATTTACTGTTGATCTTAGTGATTTTCTTTCCATTTTTTAAATAACAAACACGTTGTCTCTTATATTATATAATGAATATCGTTTCTCGCTGTAATATTGCTTTAGTTATTTAAAAATCATGAACCATTTCATAAGTATTTCTATTTATATATTATTGATTACTTATTATTTGTTTAGAAAGCTTTAGTTTCTCTTTCAAAGCACAACACGTAGGAACGGCGTACTTTCAGATCATTTCTCTTTGTCAATATAAATTGGATCATACTAAAACAGTAAAAACACAAAGTTTCTACAAGATTGAAATCAACGAATTTATACTATGGCAAAATCATATCAATTTGTATTACAAATTTTATTATTTTGATAAAAAATTCTAAAACATATCGTTGTGCTAAAATATATTAGCTTTAACATACAGTCTTGTTAGAATAAAAATTAAGAGGAATTTTATTTTACTATAAGATGTTCGTTTTAGGATATGTTATATTTAACGATCTGAACTAATCGATTTATTATGTAACAAACGTAATAAAAATGAAATTTTGGCCCCATGAACACGACATAAAGATATTCCTTCGTACTGTAATTAATCTATAGAAATCGTTGACTCACGCGCTAATTATATTCCCTTAATAAATTAAGTTTCTCATTGCTCTTTAAAAGTTCGACGAATTTAACGCATGAAGAACCACCAATTCATACCTTTATAAATAAATGTGCAGATTTAAACGAATGACGAAATGAATTATAAAACGAAAAATACAGAATCCTTTTCTACGATAGAATCGCTAAGTTGCAAAAATCTGTATGTTTACGTGGAACGTGACGAATTAATTCTGAACTTTTCTTTCCCTTTTATACAGTTGCCATGGAATTGAGAACCGACATGCCGCGAAACACGAAAAGCGTCCGTCACAGAAGCTCGAAACCTCCTGGCCATTTTCCTTGTAAGTCCAAACAAAGTTTCTTTGAAAAGTTGCTTGCTCGATCGGCTATTCAATCAAGTAGCTCGTCATTCTAAGGCTTTTCGGCTTCATTACCGAAAGAAATTATTAAATAGAAAGGAATACTATGAAATATGTAGGTCACTTCCAAATGAGAAACCTTGGTGGGTCACACATGAGGAATGTGAAAGGTGTGGAAATGTTTCCCTTACGAGAAACTAGGTGTAAAATAAATATTTTATATTAAAATAGTTTAAGTTCTAAGCGGACGAGAGTTAACGCTTCTGTAAGCTTATTTTTTGTTTGACTTTTTATGGGAGGGAAGAAATGTGAATCGCTTTGCTCACTAGCATCGTGAAAATCGCAAGGACGAAGAAAACTTTGAATAATAAGTTCCCTAGTTATTTATATCATATTTATCATATCATATCATATCATATTTATTGACAATCAATATCACAATGTAATATTCCGATCTTTAAATCTTTAGATCTAAGATTTAATATTGCAACATTTAACAACTTAACATTCTAACAATCAACACTTTTATTTCCTTAAAGAAATTCCTTCTAAACGTTTACGAAACACAACGAAATTCGGATGTTCTCGCACGGTACAACAAATTTAACAATGTAATGTCCCAACGTTTAACAATCCGACGCTCTAACGATTACCAACATCGCTATTTGTTTGAAGAAATTCTTCGCGAAAGGAAGGAATTCTTTACGAAGAACAACGAAATTCTTCAACGAGACGTTCTTACACGGTACAACGAAGATTCTTGAAAAAATCCGAAGAATCTAATATCCTTAAATTATCCTAACGTTCAAGCACGCACGCTTCTATTCCTTCGAAGGAACTCTTCACAGATGTTTGTCACAAGGGAATAGAATTCGAACGTTTTTACACAGTGTACCAATCCTTTAGAGAGAATTCTCTACTGTTATTTCTATTCTAGCATGTCCAACGTAAACATACTAACACTTCAATACCTATCTCTTTACGCGTCACCAATAATTACCAATAATTACCAATTTTCCTTAAATTCCGGAATCCAGGAATCGTCCATCAGTCACGTGCTAATTGTATTCCCCTAACGAATTCAATCTCCCATTGCCGTTTAAAAATTCGACGAATCGAACATTCGAATAATCAGCAATTCATACCCCTGTGGAAAGAATCTCTTATTCTTTGAATCGAAGGAAAAACAATGAAATTTCGAGCGACACGCGTCTTCGTTCATTCGATGGGAATTCCTTTCGCATATCTTGCCCCGGCTTGACGCCATTTTTACGGTCAATATTTCCCCGCTAGACTAGATGTCACCCTTTACTTGGCCACCCTCACCCATTGGAAAGTTGTGCCACCCTCCGTGTGATAGCGCCACTGGCATGTTTCCAATTTCCACGAGGGCTGCCTCTTTGTTCGTCACATTCTATCGGCCGCTTTCTTGCTCCCGTTTCGCCTCGCTAAATTTATTCGTCGCCCGCCACTGCTTCTATCCGTCCGACCTTTTCAACGGTGAAACGTTTGCGAACGTTCCGAGCCTTGATCCACGTTATTCCGCGGAGATTGATGAAAAGTAAAAGTACAGACCGACTAAACCGGGTCACTTTGCTTTCGCGGATAGACATGTTACCATGAGAAACGCGAATCGTTAGCATTGTTACATAATTCTTTGCGATGCATTTTCTTCGAGGATTTTTGAAGCGGCAAGGATATTTGGAATTTTTCCATTTCCGAACGAGTACCGAACTTTTCCTCAAGTTTTACGGCTGCAAAATAGGATTCTTAAACAATTTTTCATGCTTGACTTAGTCATACTAGGAAGATTTTTTGGACATTAGAACATTTAGGGACGTTAAATGGATAATAAAATGATTAATATGTTAAATGGATATTAAATGTATAAACTAGTTTAGTGTCTTTAGGATTATTCATTTTTATTTCCAAGATCGAATGTTCCTTATTCTCTGGGAAAACAGTTGCTTTTTTAAACTAAAATTAAGGTCAATTTTAAAACAAATACATTTATTGTTTAATTATATGCAACATCTAATGTGAAAAAATCAAATTCAAATATTTTCTCTTTTTGGCATGTTTTGAAGAAATTTTGAAAGAAATTATAATTTGTTAATTGAATAACGAGCGTGATGAGTGCTTAAATTTGATTTTGAATTAATTTACGCATGCAATAATAGTTTTTTATTTACATAGGTAGGCAATCACAGCAAGTACACAATAATTTTGCTGAGTCAGCAACAATTCCTTATAAATTTGTCTATTTTCTTGAATTTTTGGCGTTTGAAGGTTCGAAACTTTTGTTGCCAAAATTTCTTGAATCTAGTACAATCGTGTCAATATTCAAGTTCTTGAAATATGAGGAATATCCGAAATACATGTTGGTCGTAATTGTATTTCAAAGGATGTAATATTTTTCGAATTTTTGGCAAAAACACGAATTACGAAGAGACAAATGAATGAAGAATGACTATGAAAACACTTTCCTGCAAAAATAAAGTAAAGTAAACGTCCAAACGATAACTAGGAGCATAAATCCTCCTCTTTAAATAGAATTATAATATTAGCAATATTAATATTAATTGATCGAATAATATATCGTTAGTTAGATATATATATATTTTTAGATTATAGATATATTTTTCCTACTTCATTTTCAATTTGGTTTCAGAACTGTTGACGCAACAACTTAATCTAGTTCATGAGATAAGAATTTATTGCTGAGTGGATGAGCGGTTGCGTTTCAATATTTCATTGTTGTGTCATCCAAAATTGCATTCGATTCGCGTAAATATATGCACGTTACGCAAAAGAAGCGCTTACACAGTTGGTGATGTAATACAGATTACTATATCGGTTCCACATTTACGAAAATTAATACTAATAATAGAACTTCGTGGAACTTTAGAGTAGTCGTGGAATACAGAATTATAAATGGGGGAGTTGCAATAAAATCCTTTACCATCGATACTTTGACAAATTTCTCAATTCCGAAGCGTTGTTTCGAACTTTATTACAGTTCCAATATTCCGCTTTGTAACTTTTCAGATTCGAACTCTGCGAACTCCTGTTATCAATTCACCGTTTTAGAAACTCAAATTTCTCCAATTAAGATTTTATTGGTGTCATTAAACCGCGAAAAATTTTAATTTTTACGCTATATCATTCCAAATTTTGTTTTAGATTTTTAAACCTATATTTTACTATTTTCCAAGTGAATAAAAATAACGTTACCTCTATTACGCGCACATACTAAACATCCTAAACTTAAATGAGAGATTTTACATCTTCCTTCTCTTTATTTCCTCTATTTTCTTTTTATGTCGTACTACGTTATCTTCATAATATATAATAATCGTTCCACGTTTAAGAGCTGAAAAACGCTACTAATGTGTTATTATAAATAGAAAATACAGGAGAAATGCATGATAACTTACTTTGCTAAAAGGGAGTATTTTAACGTGACATAGATAAAACAGGGAACAACCTGCTAGGTCCAAAAATATAAGCCTTTTAAAAATAGCTGGTAAACCCACGAATTCTCGTAAAACACCAAGGGTGTAACTAATCTTATGACAATCAATATTTTTACAATATTCAAGAGCTTAGTAAAAATATATAATCTGTAATTTCTAAATTAAATAAGGAGAAAATTTTGGTAATATCAGATTGACGAATATAAAATGTGACTTATCATTACACTGCGAATAATTATGTATTTCTGAAGAAATTTAAAGATGTGAAAACGTATAGAATGCATATAATACATTAATACACCAACATATATATATATATATATATATATATATGTGTGTGTGTGTGTGTGAAATATTTGAATATTTGTTGTAATATTCGCCGAATCTCTGCCTAAGTTCCATTTATTTGCTTGTGTTCATAAACTTTCATGAACACTTTTCATAAATATCCGAAGCCTAGAATAGAAGAGAATAGAGAAAAGTTTTGAAGAATATCTATCATGTTCGTTTCCTGTGTTCTTTTCAATTATTATAAGTATGATTTTCGTAGCTAACGTTAAAATAACTTTCTATGTTGTTGTAGCAACCCTATCTGTTGCGTACGGGTGTCGTATTGTGATTACTTGGCAAAAATAATTCTAATAAAAAGCAAGAATTAACAATTATTTAGAGGTCAATAAGTATTGCTACGAAGCTTTTAAAATGTATATTCTTATAATTATAATTAAAGAAACAAAACGTACATAAAAAGTGTCATCATTCAAATATTATAAGAATATTCTAGTTCAAATACATACACTAACATACCATGTGAATTCTGTACACTTCTACACGTTCAAATTTCTCCCAACAGCATAAACATCCATAGACGACTTGTAAAAGCTCAATTACATAACTAATCTCATAAAAATTTCTTCGACGTTCAGGAGGATATCCAATTCCAAACCGAAACAAAACGACAATTTCGATAATACGAGGATGATCTGACAGCGTATTGAATTTTATAATTATTAACCCCACTTGTCGTGTCTCTCCCCGTCGGTCATTAAATACATTCCAACACGACTTTAATCGAACGAACAAAAAGCCCAAGGATTCACCCCTGGCGGATAAATTTTGATAGTCCTCGAATAATCGTGGGCGTGCTTGACCTTAACACTGATTGGTCGATACCTTAAAATAGCCCTCGTGCCGGGCATCTGATAAGGCGGTTTATTTATAAATCTGACTCAACATATTCGCGCGCTTTCGCCCGTACATCGACGATGGAATTTCGTCGTCGTTCCGTCTTCACCGTTTCCTCATTGTCCGCGTAATCGAGTCCCTGGAACCCCGGGGTGCCAGAACATTTTTATTGATTTATCGATTCGTCCATAACCACAAACCGAAACGAGACAGATAGGCAGATAACGAAAAGCGAAATAAAGCCAGAAAGAGGAGCGGTGGGGGAGAGGGGTGAAATGGCGGTTAGAAAACATAACAAACAGGCTGGAAATTGGTATCAGA